TTTCTAAGAAGATTCTCCTCGTTAGTACGACGTTTAGCATAATAAAAACAGTATGGAGAATGGCCATGTTGAACTTAGGATTAAATTACAAAAAAAGGTTCCTGTTTGGAGAGATCTGCGTTAAATTAAAACGCCAATTGGAGTCACCAAGAGAAATAAAAGCATAAAATAAAAAAGTTCTTCTCTACCAAGGCAACAATTCTATGACTGAGTAACGTAAATGCATTTCTCTGCACGCGTTCATTTAAGAAGCTGAAATTTTGTTATGCATCACAGAAGGAAAATAATTTCATTCGTAAATTCTGTAGAACATGCTTTAGCAATGACCGTCAGTGCTTTTCAGATGTAGCCTGGGACCAGGCTCCGCATTGTGGGAAAAAGGAGAAAAAATCGGGACCAGGCGAAAAAAAAAGTTGGCGAGCAAAGCGAGCCGAGAGGTATTCTGGGGAGGAGAAAAGGGTGGTGCCGTCCTTTACCCCTCCGCAGGATAACGCTGGGCTCGCTTCGCTTGCCGATATTTTTCCCTATTTAACCACGTTTTTTGCTCTTTTCCCCTACTGCGGAGCGTGGTCCCAGGCTATTCAGATGGTTCAAGTTGTAATCACAAGAAACAGTACTAGACATGATGCGTTTGATCAAAATGTATGAAAGATAAAAAGAAATGTAAAACCCTGAAAAAGAAATTCAAAGATAATACAAACTAAAAAGGTTTCCTTTGAATGATCATCAGTACACCAGCGGTTTGATTCGGTTGGTATACCGACTCAAAAAGTTTAAAGTTCAGTGCATGTCTCCTGTTCATTTTATGTCTCAGTTATGAACGTTTGGAATGCATATAGTCGAAGTTTACAAGAATTATCAAACGCTAAATTTTGAGCTTTATTGAAAAAGAACTAAAGACAGTCATTTGAAAGGTGAAAGATTAGGAAAACAGGTGTTTTTCTTATTTGTCAGGAAAATGGTCACGTGCAGCACCACGTGATCTACCAGGAAGATGTATGAAAAAAAAAACCTTTGACGACGATTAAGTATTTTGGTATTCCATCTTTTGAATCGTTTTAATCTCCTGTCAAAGTTATCTTTGCTCAGGTCGAGTCCTGAGGTATTCGAGGCATCCGGAAGAGACCTTATTCACGATCCTTAGCGAACGCGCGTCAAGATTCATGGGATAGAAGCAATGTCACATGGTCTCTCGGGGGCAAGCGGCTTCTAAAATCTGCCAATTCAAGCCAAGGGCGTCTTTGTTTATTCTACACAACAAAAAATGAGGGCCGGGCTTGTAAGAGTTGATGAATAATCGGGAAAATAGAACTCTCCTGTGTGGTCCAAGGGCCGATTTACATAAATCGGCCCGTGGACCACATTCTCAAGCTAAAACATATTAACCTTTAAATTTCCACTTGGTGCGCAAGTGATTTCATAATGCTGTGGTGTCTGACTAACAGAATTACGGGCATGCCACCTAATGTTTCTGTTGCTTTAAAAATTGCACTTAGGAGTTTAGATCACCATTGCATTACAACTGTAGTAATAGTTGACAATACAGCTACCCCCTCAGCTGTAGTGGGTCAATAGTATTCTTGGTCGTTGTAAAGTTGTTGTGTAGCTCTTTGAAATATACCGATTCCTAATGAAGATTTTCACACATATTCCATACAATAGGTGAGATAAAAACAGGAATCGCGAGGTTTCACGCAGTTTCAGTTCGTTTTACACAGCTTTGATCAAAACATTCTCAGTTTCGAGAATGGTTGAATTTTTCACTATTTCTCTTTCACTTTTTATGTACAGTTCATTTTATTTGCTGGAAAGTAAGCCTTAGAAATTAAAGCTTATAATTAAAAGGACGTTTGAACTTTATACCCAAAGGACATCTGTGAGCCATGGAATAAGTCAGCACAGACTTTGATTGTCGGCGAATTTCTGTAATCGTCCACCGTTCTGCTAGTGATAAGCTAGCGGTTGATTCATTCGTCTTGCTTGTTTGGGGCTAAGTCTTATTGCGGTCAAAGAGAGAGAAAGAGTGTCTGGCAAGGTTTTCAATCAGATTTATGAACTCGTTTCTGCAAACTCTCCAAGTGTTTATAGTAGTTATACACAGTTACACGCACCTTATAACTTCATCTGCGCTTACTGCGCTTTTCACAAACATGCGAATTCTGAAGTTCAAAAGCCAACTGACGATTGCGTTTCTCGCTGCCGTCAATCATCTTAACGGACCTCTTAGGAAACAAAACTTTACTTGAACGGGTTCAATAGTGGATATACTATGTAGGAAAGACGAAGCAGACTATTTTTCTCGAAACTTCGTGTGCATATTGAGCACAACAACAACTCGCCACATGGTAAGTTTGATCGATTTTTATTTTCATTTTCCAGCAAATTTCCAGACCTAAACTTCGCCCCATATGTTCTCTACATTGACTCATGTTCTGGAACCCGTACGTGACACAGACAGTGAGCCTGGGTTACCTGTGGTGCCACCTAGTGTTTCTGTTGCTTTAAAAATTGCGCTTAGGAGTTCAGATCACCATGGCATTACAATAACACTCACGTACTCGAGCTAAAACATATCAGACATATTAACCATTAATTTTCTTCTGTGTGCAAGTGATTTCATAACACCGTGGTGTCTAACTCACAGAATGACGGGCGTGCCACCTAGTGTTTCTGTTGCTTTAAAAATCGCACTTAGGAGTTTAGAACACCATGGCATTCAATAACACTCGCTTACTCAAGCTAAAACATATTAACCTTTAAATTTCCACTTGGTGCGCAAATGATTTCATAATGCCATAGTGTCTGATTCACAGATTCACGGGCGTGCCACCTAGTGTTTCTGTTGCTTTAAAAATTGTACTTAAGAGTTAAGATCACCATGACATTACAATAACACTCACGTACTCGAACTAAAACATATTAACCTTGGTGTGCAAGCGATTTCATAATCGTGGTGTCTAACTCATAGAATCACGGGCGTGCCACCTAGTGTTTCTGTTGCTTTAAATATCACACTTAGGAGTTTAGATCACTATGGCTTTACAATAACACTCGCTCACTCAAGCTAAAACATATAAAACTTTATATTTCCGCTTGGTGCGCAAGTGATTTCATAATGCCGTGGTGTCTGACTCACAGAATCACGGGCGTGCCACCTAGTCAGGGGCACCCAACGTCAATTTTGGGAAAATATCTGTTCGGAAGACGATTTGAGATCTAGACTTTTCGGAACATTTGTTGTAAAATTTCTTGCTTTCCTGCCTCTCCTAGGATTTTCGAACATCTAAAAAATGGTATAATTGCCCATTTTTAACGGATTTTTACCCTAGAAAGAACACCTAGAATTTTCGGGTCCTTTTACCCGAGTGAAATTTTCGAAAAGGTAAGTTTTGATCCTTATAATTTTCGGATCACTAGACTTTCGCTAGGAAATCCGAACAGATGAAAAATTTTTAGGGGGATAAAAATATGCCAATATCTACCGTTTAAATACTAAAATACGTTTAACAATGCTACGTTTAAGAGGTTTTGAACTATATTCTCGTTGGGTGCCCCTGCCTAGTGTTTCTGTTGCTCTAAAAATCGACTTAGGAGTTAAGATCACCATGCATTACAATAACCCTCGCTTACTCGAGCTAAAACACATCAGACATATTAACCATTAATTTCTTTCTGTGCGCAAGTGATTTCATTTTCCTGCAATACATAACTTTTTCTTGACTGGATAACGAGTTAAATAGCGGCAGCGGCGAGATTTGGTAATTTTTGGCGGGCTTTGGACACCGTTTGGAGGGATGACGATTTCGCTATTCGACCGAATCTATTTGATCGCTTGGTCTTTGTGTTTTCTGTCTTTACTATGACATCTTTAGGAATTTAGGCCGAGTTACTACCGTGAACAATAGTATTTCCGTAGACCCGTCATTAAATAACAGAAATTTTTTTATGTAGCCCGTTTGCACACGCTTTACAGATCATGCATAATAGTCACCAAACAAATGCAGTCGGATTAGAAGATCTAACGTTTTCTACATCAAAATGCCTACCACACTGCCGATGAATATTACCACTTACACGTTTATCGTAATATCGTTAGGCTCAGAAACATTTTCAAGGCATAGGAAGACCGTCTTCTTCTCCTAATGTCATCTAAATCTACCCAGAATGCAATGTTGTATTTATTCGATCAGAGTTCAAACCATAATGTCATACTTCTTCCATATAAAGAAAAAGTCAATTATTATTTCCATTGTTTTGGTTAAATTTTTAACTATAGTGCATTGAATGTACAAGATTCCATCAGACTGAGGCCATAAAAGTACAAGCACTTTACGCACCAGCGCGTGCGTGAAGCGATTCACTGCGGAAACTGCAGTTTAGCAAGCTCAGGCCAAAAAATATGGTTTAATCTGCGCACACAAAGCCTCGGAGATCAATGATTGCAATTTGCTTTGGCATCTCTCTTTCCTTTACGATGAGTAGTATGCTGTGTGTTCACGGACTGCGGGTTATTCATAATCAACATTTTGAACCAACGCTTTTATCTAGCAACATTTTTCCGATTCTATTTGAGTTCCCCGACCTTCAATGCATTCAATACAATATGGAACTACGCTACATTTTAATACTGGCAAAGATCGGAAAGACAACGCTTGATGAGTCGTAGGCCACTCGCGATTATTCTGGATAACTCGTGAGCTGAGAACGCAAATCTCAGGCATATGTTAAACTGTAATCGCCAGATGCCGCCTTAATCTTGTTTTAAAATGTAACGCTTTATCGAATAACTGACCACTGATGGTTGGATCAAACGGTGAAAAAACTAATTGCTTTTCGCAGTAGGAGGTTTATTGCTTGTCACTCAAAACCTAGCGTCCTTAACAACGCCGGCGTCATGTGGTTTGCAAAAGAAAGTCGTATGCAGGTCCTTATGTCATCCTTTCATTCTATGTTTTTTATCGATCATTAAAGTAACGATCGTTTTTTCCTACTTTTTAGCATTTTCTTGCACATGTAATAGATGTAACTTGCACAACAACTTATACAATGTTCTTTGCTTTGAAGAAACTATTTACTCCATAAGGCGAACATCAATCAACTGGTTTCAGCAGCAATTTTCAACGCAACTCAACTCGAACTACGCTATGAACATTTCAGAGGATATAAAAGGCCAAACGTCTAGTAACTTTGGAACTTCATTCAATCACTCTAGTCCTTCAATTGATTGGCAGGAAGCAGACTTCATCGCTTACGCCACAATCATGATTATGATCCTCACGCTTGGCTGCCTTGGTAACCTGTTGATAATAATTGTCCTTTGTAAACCTTCGAATCTGAGGGAGACCCTGACACCTCTCATGTTAAACCTCGCAGTGGGCGATCTATTCGTCACCGTGTTTGGATATCCGACCCTGATGGGCGACATCTTAACAGGTGGGGACATTCAAGCGGGTACAGGCCGGTGCAACTGGTATGGATTTGTGAATGGTGCCGTAGGGATAGCGTCTATTGTCACTTTTACTGAAATGAGCCTGGTCTTAAGTTACAGTATGCATCAAATGAATCCGAGATTTAAACTCTCCCGGAAGACAATCTTCCGTCTTATTGGAGCTTCTTGGCTTTATGGCGTGGGATCGATGTCGCCTCCCCTGTTTGGCTGGAACCGTTTTGTGCCAGGTGCTTCTAAGATAAGCTGCGCCCCTGATTGGACCGATGTTACTCCAGCTGGCATGGCATACAGTATATTTCTTATTACTGCTGGATTTGTCTTGCCTATCTTAGCTATTTCTGTTGCTTGCTTTAAGATTTTTAGGTAAGTAAACCAATAGCTATTAACTTTTTATTTTGTATTCTCCTTTAAAAGCTTTATTTACCTAGTTGCTCATCGCCACCTAAAAGCGATAAACGTCAGTAATTTTTGTGTCATTGGATCAGTGAAACATAAATTTCAACCGCAGTTTAACAAGAGGACGCTTTGAGGGCTTTCACAGAGCGAATATGGATTTTCACAGTCAAAGCCCAGCTTGCACATTTCGACCTCGGCTGATAAAGCAAAATTTATTGCCTTGCCATTCACGTTCCCAAGAGAACTTAAACTTTGGTCATTTCACTTAGCCGAGGTTGCGCAGGAGGTGGCAAAGAAATTGACAGAAAAGCGTGATGCTCGTGCAAAGTTTTTGGTTTGCTTATTAATCGTTCTCGTTTGCCTTCGCCGTCGTAGCTTTGTAAGGTCCTATAATGTTCGTAGAACGTATTGCCTCTTGTCGGACGGGTGTGGCTAGTGGTGGCTTTTTTTTACCGCCAGTCTCCCCTGGTTAAATGTTCCTCAATATTAGCTAAAAGTCAAATTTTCTCTTACTATCTCTTTGTACCATACCACTCCTGATCATAAGAGAGATAAACTAAACTCAAGATCTAGATCCACTTCGTTTTCTTGTTTTGTTTTCTAACCAGGCTTCTTCGGCAAGACATCGTTAAGGATAATGACCGCATCAAACTGAGGCGAAGACGATGGCAATTGAACCTTTTGCGTCTGACGGCAACAGCATTAGCTGCCTTCATACTCAGCTGGTCGCCATATTGTTTTGTCAGTGTAATCAGCATTTTTAGAGGAAACAATCTTCTTTCTCCTGGAGAAGCAGAAATCCCTGCACTGATGGCCAAAGCATCAGTCATTTATAACCCCTTTGTGTACACTATCTTAAATAAACGTTTTAGAATGACGCTTTGGGTTAATCTATCGCGTTTATGTTGTAAAAAGTTCAAATTCTTCAGCAAATATAATAGGTCAAGTTATAGACCAGAGGTTGTTTTCAGTTCACACCACGCTGGTCGGCCTAGTTTAACGAAGTTTGCATCTACATTTACATTAACCAGCCGATAAAGTCAAACATTTTGCAAAGGAATGTTGAAACAGCTGAATAATGGAAGTTTCAATCTTGCTACTTAACTTATCAAAAAGCAGTGCATACTATAAACCCGCCACTATGATGAATCCTCTTCGTAATCGGCAAACCAGAAAGAGAGATTTCCCCTAGATGGTCTTTTCCGATGAAACTATTTGCCGTCCCAAGACTAGCATGAATTTACATGTAAATGATTATTCATATTATACAGAGATACCGTAAAATTCCGAAAATAAGCCCCTCCATGCATAAACCCCTCCAAATATAAGCCCCCCAAACTCGTGACGCAAAAAACCCTCCGTGAAATCGCTCCTCCCAATATAAGTCCCCGGGGGCTTGTACTTGGAAAATTACCCTCAAATACAAAGTAAAACCAAGCAAACTTCCCTCCGTACATAAGCCCCTCCAAAAATAAGCCCCTCAAAAAGGGCCTCTGAAAAATATAGGCCCCGGGGCTTATTTTCGGAATTTTACGGTATCACTGTTACGTTACAGCAACAGTGGTGGAACCAAGGCTCCCATCCTACAGAATTGTTGTTAAAAAGTGAATCAGACAGAAAATAAATAAACAAATTGTCTAAATGAGCAACTATAAAATTTCGTGTTCCTTTTATGACGTCTTCTATTTTTCATTTCATGACTGGGTCTCAAAGAAAATCACTCACACATTATAATTAATACTTTTTTGCTCATCCCCAGCCTAGACTCCGCACATCTGAAACCAAGATATACGAGCAGCCCTTAGGGTGGACTTCCACTGTTGCTTAATTTTAACTTGCGTACGCAGGTAAATTTTACTTGACTAAATAAAACAGAGGCAAAGCAAAAGTTGAACTTCTCTCAACTTTTGCGTTGACGTGGAGCCTTTCATACATAACCTCTCTTTGGTTTTCGTAGGTAAATTTTAGGCCCGTACGAATGTAAAAAATATGCGACAATGGAAATTCACCCTTAGGATAAGTGCAAGTTTCCGACGATTTTAATTGCTGTTACTCTAATAGGCCAATTGCGTCATGACGTCATTTTGCTATTACCAAAGAATCTCTTATGAAACGCGAGAGGTTTTGTTTTTACCTCACTGGGCACAAGAAATTAAAACCTAGCCTTCCGCGCAAACGTTCTTAACGTCTTCCTGGGACTGAGACTAAAGCAGAGCAGCCTGTGTTCGCATGGCTGTTGTTTTCATTAGAAAGTTTTGTATAGTTTCCTGTCGAGTGTATCATTTGTGATTATCTGATATCAGTTATATTCAATATTCTTTTCACCTTGATAATAAGTTACTGTTTTGAAAAGTTTAAGTCGTAAATATGCGCAGTTGTCTGTTCAATTGAAAACGCGTTATATAAACCTTATACAGTATGTGGTCCTTGGTCCGCGTCTAAAAGTCATTAACTTGAATATCTTACCCGAATCTTCAGGTAACGAGCTGAAAAACTCCCTGAAGATAGCTTTTATGTTCTTCTCGATAATCCTGAAGTTTCAAGTTCCAGACATAAATATTTTGCTTGGAGTTCGAAACAAGGCGACCGTTTTCGATGGTCCTTGGTCCGCGAATGTGGTCCTTGGTCCGCGTCTCAGGTAAGCAGCACGAAAAAAACGTAAAAATGTTATAGTTTCCACAGGAAAACGTCATTTTCACAAATTTCATGTATTTTTTTTCTTTTCTTGATGCAATTAAGGGCATCGAGTCACTATATTGATCCAATAAACAATTGAGAAGTTTTTCAGTTTGTCGCTGTATCATTGCTGTATCATGTTCAGAGAGGAACTTAAATAGGTTTTTTAAAACGACTTAATCCTAAGTGTCTCTTGCCACTGTTGACTGAGGTATTGTTTTGTGGTGAGGGTATTGTTTAGTTCAAACTTGTATTACAGAACGTTATTTAGTGATCGTATTATTGTCAGCCTCAAGAAACTACCCGATTTTTCAATTTCACAGGTGGGTAAAATCTTGCTTCAAGTTGACTTCTTTACGAATAGTGTCGAACGAGTGTCGAGGTTTAAGAAGAGGGCAGCGTGTAAGATACGGGTTATAACTACAGGGTATAGGCTCGCTGGGGAGGAGCGAGGGCTCATCTTCCGAACAGCGGTTAGTAATGGAGTCTAACTACAGAGACGAAATAAATAAACAAAAAAGGACCACCACGGGCAGGTGGGGGCAATCTCACTGGGAAGTAGAGTTGTCCTTTTTTTCAATGTGATATTTCACTAATTTCTCTTGTTCCATTTAATGTTCCTGCTTCCTCGTTTATATGGCCTTTATAGAAGTTTTTTTTTTACTCTACCCTTGATTTTGTTGTCGTAATCAGTTTGGGAGGCCCACTGAGACAAGTGTTGTTTTTGTTATGCTGTTGTTATCGTTATCAGCGGTGAGAGAGACCCACTATATAAGCACCGGTGTATACGTTGACTTCATTCAGCGGTTTAAAAAAGATCGCCATGCGTCTTGAATGGAATCTCCTCGAACTTCCTTTGACCACTGCGACATTTCTGTTGATGTGTAACTCAAAGTTCCGTCTCTCGCATGAAATAACTTTCCAAAAACTTGAACGAAAACTTCCATTCGTCACAATATAAACAATAGGGTTGTAAATCACTGAGGCCTTTGCCATAAGCGCTGGGATCTCTGCTTCGCCGTAATGACCGCATCAAACTGAGGCGAAGACGATGGCAATTGAACCTTTTGCGTCTGACGGCAACAGCATTAGCTGCCTTCATACTCAGCTGGTCGCCATATTGTTTTGTCAGTGTAATCAGCATTTTTAGAGGGAACAATCTTCTTTCTCCTGGAGAAGCAGAAATCCCTGCACTGATGGCCAAAGCATCAGTCATTTATAACCCCTTTGTGTACACTGTCTTAAATAAACGTTTTCGAATGACGCTATCGCGTTTATGTTGTAAAAAGGTCAAATTCTTCAGCAAATATAATAGGTCAAGTTATAGACCAGAGGTTGTTTTCAGTTCACGCCACCCTGGTCGGCCTAGTTTAACGAATTTTGCATCTACATTTACATTAACCAGCCGATAAAGTCAAACATATTGCAAAGGAACGTTGAAAAAGCTAAATAATGGACGCTTCGATCTTGCTACTTAACTTATCAAGAAGCAGTGTGTGTTGTAAACTCGCCACTATGATGGGTCCTCTTCATAATCGGTAAACCAGAAAGAGAGATTTCCCCTCCCTAGCTGGTCTTTTCCGATGAAACTATTTACCCTTGAGTCTTAAGATGTCCCAAGACTAGCATGAATTTACATGTGAATGATTATTGATATTATACAGAGATATGATCGTTACGTTACAGCAATGGTGGTGTTAAAAAGTGAATCAGACAGAAAATAAATCACAACTTGTCTAGGTAAATATAAAATTTCGTGTTCCTTTTATGACGTCTTCTATTTCAGCGCTGGGTCTCAAACGATTATAATTAATGGTTTCTTTGCTCATCCCCAGGCTAGACTCGGCACGTCTGAAACCAAATACCAGCAGCTCTTAGGGTGGACTTTCACTGTTACTTAATTTTAACTTGCGTACGCAGGTAAATTTTACTCGCCTAAATAAAACAGTGGCAAAGCAAAAGTTGAACTTCTCTCAACTTTTGCGTTTACGTGCAACCTTTCATACATTATCGCTCTTTGGTTTTCGTAGATAAATTTTACTATACGCCAGTACGAGTGTAAAAATTATGCGACAATGGAAATTCACCCTAAGGATAAGCGCAAGTTCCCGACGATTTTAATTGCTGTTACCCTAATAGGCCAATTGCATGATGACGTCATTTTGCTATTACTACAGAGAGCACACGAGAGGTTTTGTTTTTACCTCAATGAGCACAAGAAATTAAAACCTAGCCTTCCGCGCAAACGTTCTTAACGTCTTCCTGGGAGACTAAGGCAGAGCAGCCTGTGTTCGCAGGGCTCTTGTTTGCATTAGAAAGTTTTGTATAATTTCCTGTCGAGTCAGATCATTTGTGATTATCTGATATGGGTTATATTCAAGATTGTTTTCATCCTGATAATAAGTTACTGTTTTTAAAAGTTTAAGTCGTAAATATGTGTATTTGTCTGTTCAATTGAAAACGCGGTATATGAACCTTATATAGGCTAAGAAATTAATATGATTACGATAGCATAATATTCAGCCTGCGATGACAGCGTCACCCTCATAGCGAGGGACGTTTGTGCGCCTGCTGGCACTATCGGATTTCGGCAGCACATTATCCTTTAAATGCCGTCCTTGTGAAGCTATTCGGTAAAAGTTTGAACAATAATGAGTTGATATGAGTTTAAAATTAGTCAATTCTACTTTTTTATATCTTTTTCTGACCTCTCTTGAAAGTGGAAGGATTACCAAGCACAGCTTGGAAAATAAGCTAACATATACCAGCGCTCAGTCTCCTCGAACTTTGTTTCGGAAGGGTCGAAAACCGTTCTGAAATCCGGCGAAGCTAAATATGTAAAGAAATTCTTTCCTTTGTTCTTTTCTGGTTCAGGTTGTCTAACCTGTGAACACATTCGCCTCTTATCACTCTCCGTTGTTGGAAACTTTTCTCTCTCTCGAAAAGTCTGAACGTTGGAGAACGATAGGAGGCGGCATTTTCCGCAGGCTACAGGCTCTCCCTCAACTAGTAGTACACTAAATCCCATGTAGCGCTAATATGAGAGCAGCTTGTATAACCTCTACCTCCCGCCATAAGCATCCACCACCCTAAGCTTTCATGAGTCTTTTGTGAACCTACTACACGAAATACCATCTTGGATTTGCTATCTGCAAAAATTAGAACCAGCCATATACACTGTTCGTAGCAGCGTGATTAAATCATCTTTGTTTAACGAAACTTGCCGTCAAAAGCCACTCGTAGTCTGGCTTGGCAAGACCCTCTGACTGATC